CCCGTCCCCTCCCGCCGCGTCCTGGCGCCCCGCGGCCGGGATGCCGCCTGGTTCCGTCGGCCCCACGTGCCCTGGCCCGCCGGTCCCGGCTTGGCTTGCCTTGGCTTGCGTCTGCTCCGGAACGAGCCGAGCAGCCCGCCGCGGGAAGGCCGCACGCGGAAGCTGAGGCCGCCCTTTGCCGTCTTGTGTGGCCCCAGCTCGAAGCGAGGATGCGCGGTCGTCTCCGTCTCAGAGACGCAGAGGCGAGGATTCCACCTCCACGGGCGAGCTGCAGCCGATGCCGACCTCGCCGGGCGCGGAGCTGCAGAGCCCTGCAGCGCAGGACGCCTTGTTTTCCAGCCCTCCGCAGATGCATTCTTCCGGTGCGTCTCTGAAGCTCTAGGCGGGGGTGGCGTGGGCGACCCACTGGGGGTGCTTCGCTGGGTCGGGTCTGCTAGTACGGCAGCCGTAGTGAAGGTAGCGCCCGAATTCTTCGTGCACGCGCGGGTAAATACGGTCGCGCCGAAAGAGCCAAGGCGCAGCGAACAGTCGGTGTTGGGGCTTAGGGAGCACAGGAAGCAGCTTTTCTTGTGCTTTTGTTTTTTAAATAGGCCATTTAATAATCCTCGAAATCTCGACCACCACAAGTTGCTGTCAGTGTTGTTTGCTACTGTGATTAAGTGACATCGGTCAACATGCTGTGGTTTCAGGTTTGATGTGTTCTCAGAATTTCGTTGTTAACTTTCAAACTTTGTTTTTACAGCTATTCCTCTTGACTTTGACGTAAGCTCACCACTGACCTATGGCACTCCTAGCTCTCGCGTAGAGGGAACTCCAAGGAGTGGTGTTAGGGACACACCTGTGAGGCAGAGACCTGACTTGGGCTCTGCACGGAAGGGTCTGCAGGTGGATCTGCAGTCTGATGGGGTGAGTACCCGGTGCGTGCAGTCTCCTGACAACACTGTTTTGGGACTGTAAATGGGTAGTTCCACTGACATGGTTCTGTCATATTTGTCTGTGTAGGCAGCAGCAGAAGATGCAGTGGCAAGTGAGCAATCTCTAGGCCAAAAGCTTGTGATCTGGGGAACAGATGTAAATGTGGCAACATGCAAGGAAAATTTTCAGGTGAGCTATATGTGTTCAGGTACGTGGTTTGGCTCTAGAAATGTTGGGGAAAAGTGTTTGTGACCTCTATCTAAGCAGCCATAATGCCTAGGAGTAGATTTGTAGGTGGCTTAAAACTTAGTATTTTCCTTTTTTTTTTTTTTTTTTTTTTTTTTTTTTTGTGGTTGGAGTCTCACACCATCACCCAGGCTGGAGTGCAGTGGCACACTCACAGCCACCCCAGCGTTGACCTACTGGGCTCCAGCACTCCTTCCGCCTCAACCTTCCAAGTAGCTGGAACAATAGGCGCGTGCTACCACACCCAGATAATTTTTTTAAAATTTTTTTTATTGTAGAGATGAGGTCTCACCAAGTTGCCCAGGCTGTTCTCTAACCTGTGGGCTCAGGCAATCCCCTCACTTCAGCCTTCCAAAGTGCTGAGATCACAGGTTTGAGCCATTGCTCCTTGCCATTTTCCCAATTATCAAGAAAAAAAAAATGTTTGCCTATCTCTTGAGGATGACACACTCATACCTATTTGTATTTTGAATAGTTGCCTATTCTCAAATGCATTCAGCTTAATATTTTTTTCTCTCAATCTCAAGAGATTTCTTCAACGTTTTATCGATCCTCTTGCTAAAGAAGAAGAAAATGTTGGCATAGATATTACTGAACCTCTGTATATGCAACGACTTGGGGAGGTAATCAAATGTTCTTACTTGTGGATTCAAGTATTTTATATTGCAAAATTATATAACTAGCAAGTATAACTTGTTTATTTTATATTACATGTTTTTTATTTTTACAATTTTATAGATTAATGTTATTGGGGAGCCATTTTTAAATGTAAACTGTGAGCACATCAAATCATTTGACAAAAATTTGTACAGACAGCTCATCTCCTACCCTCAGGTAAGACCTTGGCTTTGACCTCGATGAATTTCAGTATCTAGAAGGAATGTTTCTGGATAGCAGAATTTGTCCAGTAACAGAGTATGCACACTTTTTTAAGAAAACCATGTCTCTTTTCTTGTAATATGAACGTCTTTTCACGTTTTAATGTTTCTGAAATTAGAGTGTATATTACTATCCGTGGCGGTTTTTTTTTTGTTTGTTTTTTGTTTTTTTTTTGAGT